TTGTAAAGTTTTTATCACTTAAATGACAATCGAACCAATAGTGTCTGTGCTTGATGAAAATCTGATGCAATCACAGATGACGCAATATTTTTCAAAGCCAAACAAATTTCATCAGACACCCCAAAAATAGATTTATATTACTGCACACCATTGCAAATGATCTTTTGTTTACCCAAAATAAGCTACACTATTACAATTACAAGTACAAATAAAATTTATTCTTTATTGTATCCTTTCAAGACGTGGGCACTTAAAAGGGTTTTTGCTATCTCTATCTACAAAAGGCAGGATGTGTGTGTGTGTGTATGTGTGTAACGAATGCACGGCCGCAATTTTCGACGAATTTGCACCAAAATTTACATGCACATGCTCCAAGTTAGCGGGAAGGCCAATACCGAATTTGCATTTCCCAACTAGCATCGATAGTGGAAATAATCGATTTTTTCATGCTTCTACGGCAGTTTTCGTGTAGTTTACGGCCATTTTCTACTGGCCAGATTAAGAGCCTATAGCTGGCTGCCACGAATAGGCAGGAAGATTCTATTGGCCAGCGTAAGAGCCAACAGCTGACTGACACGAATGTTAACTAGCATGCTAGTATGAAAAAAATCGATAGCTGCATTCGTCACAAGTGGGAAAAATTTAAATCTGCATGGCACTTTACTCCAAATGGCTCATTCGCTTGCTTAAACTCAACGTTGATTCTGATTCCACAAAACTGGGTGGGTGTGAAAAGTATTTGTTGTTAACATTCTTTTTTCATTCGGTTTTTCCAGTTACGAGTCCTTTTTTAAAGCTGACCGTTTTGTGTTCATTTTGTTTAGTTCTTTTTTCGTAACAGATTTAATGTTTAGTATAGAGCTTAGAAAAAATTCGCAGTGTGAGATAGGCAAGAAGTAAGGCATGTAGCAACATCAGCACGGCAAAGGGCACTCCTTTAAAAGCAAGGAAGGGCAAAAATATTTTAAGTCAAGCGATAGCGATTGCTTTATGAGTCGTGCGATTTTTGAATCAAGCACGGGCAACGCTGGGCCATGCTGCTAGTGTATTCTAATCAACAAACTGCTAACCAACTTCACAAGCTCGCTAGGTAGGTTATTCGTTCTTTAATAATGCTTTTCTTATATTCTTTCACATCTCTTGGGTCTTAGTGGCTTTCTTGCCTTACTTGGGGTGAAATGAGTGAAAAAAGAAGTTTAAGCGATGATTTCGAAAACAATTTCACTATCATTTTCATTTCTCAACTACCATTCCACCTTTTCGAAGCGACATTTTGTAAATATTAACAAAGGTAAACATAGGCACATCCGGTAGGTTGAAGTACCCAAATCCTATGATCTCTTGTAATTCTACCTCAGCAAATACACCCGGATGTTCCACGTATCAGTCAGTCTGGATCAGTTAAGATAAACACTGTCCCCACACTAAACCCGCTCGACTTTTTCTATGTCACTTCCACCTTTTCCTTGTTGCTTTTAGACATTTTGTTTGTTTTGGGTTGATTAATCTGTACAGGTTAAGCAGCATATCGGGTATCAAGACTGTCTCCCCCACACCTACACACACATATCCTAATCCGTTGTACGTAGGACCCATATCTCTTTCGAGCGCTTGTTCCCTGACACCCAGCCGCGTCAACATCTGTCCAAATCCAAGACATTTCACCTTTGACCACCCATTTTACAGTCGACTCGATAAAAGGTGCTCATTTGAAAGTCATTTGTTTTCTTTCATAATCTTGAAGATGAGAATTGAAAAAAAAACTAGAGTGGTTTTTTCTGAGAGCGTCGGTGGACACACACATCTCAGATTAGAAAATTTGACTCAGTTTCGTACCCCTCCTCACCCCCAGTGCAATTAGATTCCCTTGTAGAAAATAGCGACTCAACCTCACCAACCAATTTTTTTACTGCTGTGCTTACCGTAATAAGTAGTTTCTTATGGGGTAGAGTAAACACCCCCACGTCCAACCGGTTTTAAATACCGAATTGTCTTTCTACTAGACTTGCTTGCCAACCAACCTAGAAATTCATAGCTGGACCATATCTGGATGTTGGAAGAAGAATTATAGTCATGCTTTTTGTTAAGGATATTTTGCTTTGGGAATTAGGCAAGAAATTTACCTTCTATATTTTTGATTGATTCGTTTTCTACTGTTGCTCAATCCTTTGCAAGTTTTTTAAAACCAGAAATTATTTTAGACTAGCTTAAAAGCAGCCCTATCGAGAGGCATTTAAACAAGCTCCCTTGGAGGGCTCTTGATTGGGTCTTCATTATAATAGGTAGGGAGAAGGAGGCAACAATAAACTACAGAACTCAAAATTGACCGCTGCATTTAAGTATTGAATTAATATCTAAGTTTACCTTTTAAAAATTCAACGATAAGTCTTCTGCCGGCATTTAATTTAAAGACCATTTGATGCACGTAGGTCCTTACTTTCGGTACAAATAATTATTTTTATTTCATGGGTGACTTTCGATGCATTTCTCAGTTAATTTC